AAAAAGATTGTATTAGGTTGATGTTTGTATATTAAATGTCATATATGTGTATGTAGTTAACCAATGCATTTACATTTTTGATGTCTCGTGTGGAGTCACAGTGTGTTATATGTTGTTTTGCTGTTGCACAAAATGTAAAAACTGTGCAAGTACACTTTAACTACGTCGATAAAATAAGTGTGAAGAAGAATCATTAACTGAGTAAAAAAAACTGGATAGCACAATAAAAAATACAATAAAGTAAGTAAATAAAAAGAAGGAAGTAGTTGCCTACTTCAATTAAGAGTCCAATTAAAGGTCGGTTTTACATTTCTGTTTGGAGCTTGGAGTGTAAAAGTTCCCACACCAAAGGCATTGCGTCCTGCGCTTTGGAGCAACTAACAGACTCATGCCAGAGAATCTGAGCAGTCATACAAGCTCATACTAACCACGTGAGACATCTAATAGATCACAGGGTGCTTCAAAAACATCTGGAAGCAGTAAATGTCAGGAGTCTCCTTCTGGTCCAGATACATGCTCACCTGCAGGGTTGTGAAATATCTGTAATTGATTTTTTTCAACATTTTCGTAGCATTAAAGCGTGAATCTTGATAGAAAAACATGCATCTGTTTCTACTATAGCATTATTTTTGCAGAATTGGCGATTCCTTAAATTTAAACAAACACAAAAGCCATATCTTTGTTCCTTGCCTTCGATAAACTAGTGAAGGCTTTAATTTGATCCTGTATTGTGCAACAGTGTATTATTTCCTTTCCATCTACAGGCTATCATGGAAACATCAGACATGCAACTAACCCTCAACGAGATATACAACTGGTTCACAAGGACATTTGCTTATTTCCGACGCAACGCCGCCACTTGGAAGGTATTCCACCTGCAGATGATTAACTCTGTATCCCACTGTGTGTCATACCCGATGCATGCTGCATGCATTCAGAAATATCTTCCTCACTCTGATTTCATCTGGATCAGAATGCGGTTCGACACAACTTGAGCCTGCACAAGTGTTTCGTGCGCGTGGAGAATGTGAAAGGTGCGGTGTGGACTGTGGATGAGGTGGAATACCAGAGGAGGCGATCCCAGAAGATCACAGGGTACAGTAGATCCTCCTTGTTTATCGCAGTGCCGCCATCAGGGTATCTGTACATATTTCATAAATATAATGATAATTAATTACACAATAATCAAAATATCACATTTTAATCACAAAACACAGCTTTAGCATGAGTCACCACAAACTTCTGCTGTTTGTAAATTCACAAATTTATATTCAACCTTATGGTCTACAGTGCTAAGTATCATCTATATTATAAAAACCAAAAGGAAAGGTTTAGTTTCCTTATTTTAAAGACAGACATCTCTGCAGGTGATTTATTTAAAACAGCTGAAAATTGCTGTGAAATATAAGGCGCAATATTAATGGAGACAAAAGTTACATTTTTAGCATTTCCAGGAATCACGGCTTTGAAATTTAAGTTGAAATCAATCCATAAATTTCAATCTGATCGCTCTCCTATATCACTCAAATCCGACGATGTTGACTTTGAAAAAATTCTCAAAAATCTTTAGAATATAGATAAATGTGGTTGGAAAATTCAAAATTCCATTCAGTAGAGGCCCTTTACTCTTATTCATTTGTTAAATACATTATGAATTTTCATTGCTGTTATCTGTTATTTTCTATTATCTGCAGAAATCCATCACTGATGAAAAGTATTTCCTCCAGTGCAGGTTATGGAACCCTAATGAATTCTGGCTTGCAGGTGAGCCAATGCATTCTCAACGCAGGAGTGCTTACAGGTTGGGGGCGTGGCCACTCTTTCATTTATGCTCACTTTTCTTTTCAGACCGCACTGGCAGAGGCGTCACTGCCAGGACTCAAGAAAGACAACGTAAGAGGAAATTCAAAGAGTCAAATACAAAGGAGCAGCATGGCTGACAGCCACAGAAACCAAAACTTCTCTCCTCGTGTCCAGACGTGAGTTTAGCTTTGATATAAAATTCGCTCCAAAAAAATTTAGCGATATAACTCTGAAGTTTGATGTCTTTTCTATTTAACCTCTTACAGGCCGCTTTTCCTTGAAGACAAAGAGCTGAAGGTGAATGACCAAGGATGTCTGATACAGACAGTGAAACCAGTCAGTCTGCAGCCAGACATGAGTGAAAATGATGGAGGGCATTTGTTTGACCTTGAATGACTCTTTGATTGTTAAGAAAAGCAGTAAAATCAGCATTAAAACTATTTAGAATATTTTCTATTCATCAGCAAATGTAATAAAGTAAATTTAGCTTTGAGACAGATTATAGCAGCCTCAATTTCTCCTCAATTTCAGTCAAACAGCAAAAGAAAGCAGAATATAGTGCCACTTGTGGTCTCTGTGCTGGGAATACTTTTATCAAATATTTAAATATTGGACTGTATATCTTAATAACAGTTATTATTCAAATATCAAACAGACATGTAACAAGTTGAGCATTTAAAGGTGACCGAGATTAGTCGCATTTCTTAGGATAATAGTATTTTTTGTTTGTTTGTTTGTTTTGTTTGACTTTCTAACGGACATCTTGCCAAGAAAATGGCAACAATTTAGAACAATTTGTGATTTTTCACCAAAAACAACCCGTACGCTTTTGTATTAATTATTTATGATGATAGAAAATGTTTGTTGATAATGTTTGTTAATAGTTTGTGTCTCAAAGACACTTTTAAATAACTGAAAAGCATTCGTTGTGCACTGTTTCTTCTGTTTTCTCTGTTGTGATTATTGATAGAAAATATGGGATTTTCACAGGTCAGTTTTTTTTTTTAAATGAGGGTCTGTATACTGAAATAAAGGTTCTGTTTTTGTTATTGAGAACACGGTCTGTATAATGTGTGTAAAGATGTGTCAGTCTGTAGGCTTGTGTCCAACATTTAACAATAAAAATATATATAATAGTTTAATGTTGTATTTATAAGGCTGTGCAACATTATGCTTTTTCCTTCAGTTATCAACTTGCATACTTAAAAATGTAACACCCATGCGTCGGGTATTTTTAATGCTGATTTATACAAAGTTTTAAAAAAAAGGCAAATCTGTAGTGTCATGTTTGGATTTGTTTGACATGGTGCATGTACTTGTAACCTAAACACTGTGAGGTTTCTCCAAACCATTGTTTCAAAAAATGGCTGCAGCCCCTGTCAGTACAACCATAACATTTTAACATTACACTTTAATTTTTACATAAATTTCACAGTACTGCTAACTGTTTCAAAATTAGATAAAGCTAATTAAATTTCCATAAAGACAGTAAAATAACTTCTGCATTCACTTTCATCATGCTACCATACCCTGAAATAAGTGTTTTCTATATTACTATATGAATATATTATATTATATTTCTAAAGATCACCGATAAGAGGTCTCAGCTACAATCCCTGTTAAATTATTAGAAATTAAAATAATAAAATAAACACTCCCAACATTGTGTCATCAACTGATACACACCCTGAAGTGAAGCTGTGACTGTAGACTTCACAACCAAACACAGAACAAAAGGTTTTTCCGCTCCCTGTTTTGACTATTGTCAGTAATTGTCTTTGCTGATAACATGTTAGCTTTAGGTTTGCTGTTCCTTCTCAGGTCTTGCTTTGATTTGCTGTCAGCCTATTAGATGACATTTTCTTCTGATTGCCTCCGTGCCGTGTGCGTACTGACTGAAAGTTAGCATGGTGCTAGACAACTTCAACAGCTTCACTTATGTGTTGCTTTGATGTGCCATATACTCACTGCGAGGCGGGCCAGTCAGCATGTTTTTTAATGTAGCACTTTTGACAGCACTTAATCAACAGCCCCTCCAAAAAGGCCGGTCTCTGTTCATCTTCTCATCAGTGGGTAATAATGATGCTGCCGCACATGTGCTCGTTCTGTTCGCGACGTTCTCTTCTGCGGGAAAAACAATATCTCCACATGCAAAGATTTAAATGTATTTAAACTACTTATTACTGATTTCATCTTTTAAATCCAATGATGCAATGATGTGGCAAATCTTTACATACCAGAAACTGTCAAGCTCAATTTTCAAGTCAAGTTTAAGCAATTTATTTTTATTTTAGTCTAAATTGATCTTGTGAGCCAGAAATGTAAAATCTTTGGAATGTCTGAATTTTAAAAAGTTTTCTTTTGGTGTGAAAAGAAAAAGTAAAAGGATATTCTCAAAATGAATCTAATTAACCATCTCTTAACAAATAAGTTAAACAGCTGAAAAAAAAAATCACCATTCAGAAATGATGCCAGACATTTACACACTGATTTTACACACTGATTGCATCTAAAGTCATTAAAAAGAAACTTAACGTCATAAAAATGTTCTGAGCAGCTTCTTGGCTTAACCACCTTATTGGTAATTATTAAAACCCCTGGTCCTGATGAAATGAATGATTCGAGATTAAAAAAGAAAAACAAAGCTGGCAGCTTTAACGCTCAGTTTCTCCACAGAAGCTCTTAGGATTAAAACAAGCATGTCAGGCTCAGGACTGAATGTTGGCTCGTCAATGACAAATGTTGACTTTTTACTCTGTTCTTTTTATATTTTAAGGTATTTGAACAATTGTGAAAGGCAAACAGAGTAATGCACAAAACAGGAAAATATCCTGCTTTATGGCACACATAAAAATATGACTTTTCTTGAAATTAGTGGCGTCTTCTCATCTCACATGGGAAATATTACTATGTTATGCATACTAAAAGCTAGACAGCAGACAACTTTTATCGGTTTGGCTTGTGTGAGAAAGAGGGAAGAGAACATACACAATATTCAGCTGACACACTCATGGGGTATGTGTCTCCATTGTGTTAGGTGACTAAAAGCAGAACAGAGAAAGCAACTTGAAGTCACTCAGCAAGGCCTCGGCCTTCTTTGTGCTCTGTGATCAGCAATGTTTGGCACAGCCGCTCTGTTGGGAAGGGGATTGTTATTAACTCACAACAAAACACACACACAAAGAGCACAGCTAAAAGCCTCCTGAGCGGTGACTCATGTCGGCATGTTGGGTGTTGGTGGAGGTTTCCTGACCCTTTGGTGTGGACAGAAGCCAGAGGGTGAAGGAGGAGATCGAGTGAACAAAGCGTAAGAAGGATCCTGAGCAGTCATGTACACCAGACATGTTACCAGGAGAGCACTTATCTGTGGATGGGGAGGAGCAAAAAACAAGCCAGATTAAAGGTAAGTGCAGATGATGTGATGTAAAAACAAATAATTCCAGTAACTTAGAGTTATGTTAATAGGATTAAGGACGGATTATTTGATGGACATTGACAAAAGTCTCGCTCTTTTTCCTAATTAGCATATGTAAACAATGGTGTCATTTTTAAGAAATCACGAGAAATGGGTGGGTGTGAGGGTGGAGGTGCAAGCTTTTATAGGTTTTCTCAACCAATACAGAAACAAGGACCAACATTTGGTTCCTCTGTTCACTATTTGTAAGGATTTCTATTTTTCCGTATTTAAAGGTTTTAGTATTTCTCCACAAGAAAATGGGCAAAGGGTCAAAAGCTTTTTGGACACAATAAAGCAACATGGGACAGCAATAAGAGCTCGCAACTTAAGAGGTTTCCATTATATTTGTTAAATATCGCAATATTCTGGCAAATATATAAGAGCTGAGTGCATTCACGATAGAGCTTCTTGCCTTTTTACCAACTCAACTTCTAACTTGTCTTTCTTTTTGTGTCTCAAGGTAGCACGTCTCTAAAATCAGCCCAGGAAATCCTTTCAGTGGGTGACCCTGTTAGCAGAGGAAATACCATCACCACTGATCTTATCAGCTGTAAGTGGAAACAAAGAGACCTGCGAAGCATTATTAATGCAGTTACAAAATTTTATTGTTACTCTGACTGATCAGGTTATTTAGAAGGTGTAAACTAAGAAATTTCCTCTTTAATTCACATTGTAATTAATCATTGAAATACTTAATCAAATTATAACTAATGATAAAGACAGACATATAACGACATGTGCCAGAAAACTGTTTCATCCGGCATTTAGTTGCAACGATCTCACGAGCTGATCCTTCCATTTCCAGCTCAGCCTCTGCCTGCTGTTTCTCCACCAGCAGAGGCCTCGCAGGAGGCAGCAGCATTTAAGAAACGTACATATGACCACCAGCAGAAGCCCGAGTGTCCACGGTGTGGCCTCACAGCTCCAGATGACAGACTGCCGGGCTCCAGGTTGTCAGTGCACAGCGGCAGCAGGAGCAGTAAAAGGAGAAAGGAGACAGGTGCTGC